GGCAATAAAATAACAATAAAATGATAAAACTGACAAAAATAATATGATAACAGTTTTATGTAAATTAGCATAAACATAACACCCCCCCCCCCCTGAACTCCTCTAACAGTAAAATTTACAACAATAAATAAATGATCAAATGAGTTGTTTCTGTGTCCTGCAGAGGTCACTCCTGAGACACAGAACCCCCCCACCTCCACCCTCAGTTTGTGGGGTGGTGGGCGACCAGGTTGTCATGGCGACCTCAGCTCACCCTGCTGTAGTGGAGCAGCTGGAAAACAGACTCAGAAATGAACAGGATCTTGGCCCGGTCACAGCTAACCACCAGGAGGAAGCGGTCCGACACCTGGGGGGGGGGGGGACAAAGGTGGACTGAGTGACGGATCTCTCTCAGACTGACCCTGTGGAGGAGGGGGGGGGTCACGGTTGTACCTACACTGTGCAGAAGGTCATGGAGGTCGTCAGGAGACAGGATAGAAGGAATGGAGCTGACGACTGTGAAGGAGCTGCCTGACGCTGCTGCAAAACACACAAGGAGTTACTGCACGGCTCCTCACACACACACACACACACACACAGGCAGGTTCTCATCAGTGGTGAGTCTCACCTCTCAGGGCTCGGAGGTGTTGGACGGCCTTCCTCAGCACGGTCAGTTTGTCCAGTCTCTGACCGACAGGCTGACAGGCAGGGATCATGGTCGACAGCTCGTCAATCAGCTGGTTCAGTTTATCTCTCCGCAGCTTCTCAATCTGCCGGTAAGGCTTCCTACACACACACACACACAGACAGACAGAGTGTGTCAGCTGGACCACTACAGCAGGTCTACAGAGAACTCCAACCAACTGCAGTAGAATCACCTGAAACATTTGACCTTCACTGGCTGATCGTCTCCTTCAGATCTGTGGAGAACAAAGATCTTTTTTCTCTAGTTTTCCAGACAGTTAAGTCTGAGAAAAGAAACATAAAGACTGTTTACCTGCTGAGGTCGTCGTCCAGCTGGAGGTCAGAGCTGAGACTGAAAACAACCAATCAGAAAATAATTATATGATTCTGTGGTTAAAAAAAAGACAACAAAGACCAGAGAAGACTGATTGGCTCTTACTGGGTGGATGTCTCCTCCACGTCTCCCTTACGTTTCCTGGGGAGCTCAGCCACCAAAAGACTGTAGGCCTGTGGCCCCTGGCCCGGCCCCTGGCTCGGCCCCTGGCTCGGCCCCTGTTCCTCTGTGGTCCAATCATAAACACCAGGACGTGACAGACAGACCGTTGACATAATTAAAGTGTTTAAATATTGAGTATGATTCAACCTCACGATGCTGAAGACACAACCAGTTTGATGAAAAAACGAATCGCTGGGGTTCGAGCTGTGACTCGGTAAGGAGGAAATAGCTCCCTCTGCTGGACGGCGGAGGCACAGCTGCTCCACTGATCTACTGACCTAGTTTCTCTAACGGAAGCCGAACAACACGGTGTAGAACGAACGAACCTCGGTGAGGGTAGAGACAAACTGGAGGAACACGGACGTTAGGAACTTCGTCGAGGTTTTTTTTTAATTAAGTTTTAAAACAGAGAAAAAAACAGCGCGATCATTTCTATTGTTAATTGTTGGTCAGGACTTCGTTTTGATGGCTGCATCATGTGACCAATCACATTTGAGGACAGACTGGACTCGTATTCATCACAGAAAAGGAACGTGACGACAGTGATTTTATTGGACAGACAGTGGAGACAGGAAGACGGAGGAAATGTTGGAAATGTTTGAAAAGTTAAGAAACGAGCGAAAACCAACTTTCCAACGACACAAAGTACCGAACGTTTTGGACTTGTTCAAACTTTACTTTGCTGTTTCGTGGTGAGGAAAGAAAAACCTAATTTGTATAACGACTGGCTTTCTGCCTAGCAACATCGACGCGGGGCTAATTCACTAACTAATCAACAACTTCGACAACATTGGCTGCTTGTTTTAAAACGTCATTACAACAAAGGTAACCGTGTATTTTCACAACAAAAGTGTAATTAAACACATTTCTAAAGAAACACTGAAGAGTTTTTTTCTCACCAGACAAGCTAAGCTAAGATAAATAAAAGAATCGTTTGAAGTGAACGAGGAACCGGAAGAGTCGGATCTTCCCCCACGATTCCACTGATGTCCGGTTGGTGTCTTTGAATTATCGCGTTATTTCACACACTTTAAAGTCTGTTTAAAAGTGTACTTGGTCACTGCACTGTCGTGACACTGTATTCACGTGTTTCCGTAACTCTGTTGTTCTTTGTTTCTAATAAAAAAAATAAAATATGAAAAACAAAATATTAAATGTGTTGACGTTTGTTTACATCGTATTTTGTTGTCATTGTAAAGATACCGTTAACATCGATGTCATTTTGAAGTGGTGCGGATGGAGAAGAACTTCTTTACGGCAGGACTTTCTTGAACCTGCTGATGTGTGGAACCCGTTCAAAGTTTCTCACGAGTGCATTTAAAAAACAGCGGTAATAAAGATGCTCTCACCTCCCGGTTGGTCCGCCGTTTCCCTGGAGCCAGTCGCCGACATACCGACAGAGCGGAGCCGGTGGAGGCTGTGGAGCTCCGTGACCAGTGTGGAGCCCCGGGGCTGTAGAAGAGGAGCTGATGAGGAGGAGGTGCCGTGTTGTATAATTGACTTCATGATTCTCCCTCACGTTCCTCTCCTACTCCTAAAGTTGTTTTCTCTATTGACGAAGGTCTAATAGTGTGTTGGGGAGTGTGTGTATGTGTGTGTGTGTGTGGGGGGGGGGGGGTCACATGGGTTTAGAACACACACTTTAGGAAATCACACGTATTTGCCCCCGTTGTGGCATTTTTGCTTCATTCATGGTTAATAAGGACAGCTGCCGCGGCGTGCTGACGTCACTCGCGCCGGCGCACTGTCGAATCAGCGTCTCCACAGTGAGAGCGGCGTGAAGCTGACAGAACATTCGTCCTCTTTCTACAAAAGTTTGAACAACTCGCTGTGAGATCTCAGTAAAATATAATATAAAAAAACAACCACCATTTTAGTAACTGCAGGTTTTTACTGTATCTGAAACCTGTATTTGTTACTGCAGTACTTTGTATATGTTTATATACTTGACTCTACATACACTGATACTGATGCACACAACGACAGCGGCCAATTATAACACGTTGGAACGAGTACATTCTCTTATTAAATGTGACTGTTTCTTCTTTATGTTAATGTTGGTTTTTAAAGTCAAACACTTGAAGTCCTGTCGTGTTTGTTTAAATCATATTTTAATCCTGTAATTGTAACTTTACTCTTACAGTTAAATAGGTTTTCTGTATTTAATCCATTTGAATCCAATGTAAACAAATCTAATAATGTTTCAGGTCGAAGAAGAATTGTCTTTATGCTGATTGTAGATGAAGTTGTTCTTTATCACAACGTGATACGGTCAAATAACAAAAACAAAGTCAGGAATGTTGTGTGTGTGTGTGTCTAGTCCACTGGACCCCTGGTCCACTGGTCCACTGGTCCACTGGTCCACGCTGGCCCCATTTCCCGACTAGAGCCGCAGTGATCCATCTCTCTGACGTCGACGATCTCTGTCGTTTACCTACATTGGAGAATTTCAGGACCTTTGAACGAGACTTTATGTAAGAGGACGGAGTGCACGTGCCAGTGAGAAACGTGTTGACCTATATATTATATAACTTACGGTCACGTGTTGACGTCAGAGCGTTAACCTATTTAAAGGCCGTCTGCTGAGAAAGTAGAGTGCGCTTTACGACCCGGAAGTTGGTTGGATAAACTAAGAGGCAGCTGTGAGTGGTAGAAGTGATTGTTCTGGTTACGACCGGACCCTGAATCTTCTGATTAGTCGATATTATTGATCGTTTGATCGATTACAATGACAAACAACGAACAAAACCAGACAGATTTGTATGAAATATATTTTATATGAATGAACTAGTCATACAGTGGTATTAACTGTGTGTGATTTTTTTATTTCTTTAACTTGGACTTTAATATTTTCTACCTTCGTTAACGATTCTTGTGCTGTCAGATATTCTGTCTCTGTTGCTGTAACTCTTTGTGTCAGAAAAGATAAATGTAATTATTCTCCTAACTTTCTATTCTATTACATCTTTGTGTACGAACAGCTCCCTCAGGAGGTAAACAGGCGCTACTACAATTAGTACAACAGCCTGTTACACACGTTGTACTACAGTATCTGTTGTTGAATTGTACTTTTTCGTAGATAATCCTGGAGGACAAGACAAACTACAGTTCGGCTCTTTATTGTTTGAATAAAGTGGCACAGTTATAGATGTCAAGTAGTTGTGTGTATATTCTGTGTGTACACACACACACACACACACACATATAGCAGTGCATGGGTTCACCCTTCTGTAACCTTCTCTCTGCAGGTGTGTTCACAGACACAGGAACAACAGACACATCATCACCTCAGGAGGACGCACCAACGACCTACTGTGTCATCACCATCGTAAACAACGTTCCTTCAGCAATAAACTCCCACAATGCTGTTCAGCCCGTGGTGACGAACCATTCCTAAGGTTAAAAAAAAACACATTTGGGATAAAACAAGGTTATTTCTGGAACAGAACGCAGATGGTTCCTGCAGGGATGGGCGGAGCTTTCTGGAGGCCTTAGGAGTTGTGGTCAAGGTAGTGTTCAGTTGGTTTTTACATTCAACAACATGACGTTTCCATGAGTGCAGAGACTGAGGGACAGCAGCTCCGGGCTGAAGGTTCTCACTCTGACGCTGCGTCGTCTTTTTCTTTTTTTTCTTTCTTTGACTTAATGAATGTGGAACGATGGAGTTTAAAAAACAGGAAAACAACATCAGGTTCAGATCAAATTAGAAGTTCTACCAAAACAACGTTCTCCAGAAGAACATCAGACCGGAGGAAAACCATAACAAAGAGTTTTCCTTCAGTGGAGCAGGAGAGCAGCCTGGTCCTCTTCTCCACCGTCTCCTCCTGGTGCGACCGCGGCACGTGGACAGCTGCTCAACTCACTGTGACGGAAATGACAAGGTATCGCTAAGGCTAGCTCTTCACGAAAGCTTTTTTCTGTAGGTAGTTTAAAGATTGGTGAGGTGAGCGACATCTACTGGTGGTGATGAATGTTCTTTGGTCAGAGGATTCTTAGAGATGTTTGGGTTGTTTTGAGGCAGCCTGGAGTCGACACCATTTCTCTGAATCTAAACGGAGGTGAGAATAAAACAGGGACAGACCTGGACAGACAGACCTGGACAGACAGACCTGGACAGACGGACCTGGGCAGATGGTCCAGACAGACCTGGACAGACGGACCTGGACAGACGGTCCAGACGGACCGGGACAGACGGTCCAGACGGACCGGGACAGACGGTCCAGACAGACCAGTGCAGACAGACCTGGACAGACGGGCCAGACAGCCCTGGACAGACAGCCCTGGACAGACGGTCCAGACAGACCAGTGCAGACAGACCTGGACAGACGGTCCAGACAGACCTGGACAGACGGTCCAGGGAGGTCTCTTTGATCTCCTCAGTTCTTGCAGGTTCTTCTTCTTCTTTTTAGTTTTAAAAAAATTCAAAGCAAATATAGGGATCCATCAGTCTCAGCAGCCGCAGAGCAGAGGACTGTCCACAGGGAGGCGCTCTGCCTGTGTTATCCAGAGACACGGCAACTAAACCTTTGACCTTTATTTAAAGACTAACATGTAGCAACAGCCTCTGATTTTATGGATTCCTCTGGGAATCAAACCCAGGACTCTCTGAATATTAAGGCAGGCGTGCTAACCACTACACCACTACACCATATTCATAGAGACACTTTACCACAGGTGGAGTTGAACTGCTAACACCACACCAACTTCACCACACTTCTCTCCGACGTGGCCCTATGTTTAGCCACAGTATATAACAGCTGTATATTTCTGAGCTGCTCCTCTATTAGGAGACATATGGCTGGACTACAGTAGACGCTGCTGCTCTGTCAAATATATACACACACACATACTGTATATAAACATAAACCAGGGCCTGGTCCACCACCTCCCCTGGTCCGAGGACCAGTTAGACATGGACCAATAAGAAGCTGAAGCTCAGTCCAGACAGAACCGGCTGTGGTGGTACCGATGTTCTGACTGTAGAACTGTAAATCAACCAAATTCAGTCTCTTCTCTGATTGGCTGTCTGCAGCCAGTGAGGAGGAGAAACACTGGAGCTAGTGCTGGAATTCTCCTTTAGAACAGTAGAGG